ACACACACACACACACAAATATACCAATCTCCCCTCATTAGCAGAAATACCAGTTCCATCTAAATCATGTGGCCTTTTGTTGGTAACCACAGGTCTTTCAGGATTTCATCACTGACTCATGGCCTGGATGACCTGCTCCAACTTCACACAATGACTTTCACTCTTTATCAAAACAAGTATACTCATGATGTTGAATGTGTTTTCTATCAGTATGACACCCTGGATACATCTGCCTCTGCTTATTTGATTACAATTCATCTAGTTTATTACATTCACCTGTTGTTTACCAACCAGTTAAGTAATGGTATCATGCAGAGAAATGCTACAACTACATTTAAGGCAAAAAGCTGGAAAATATTTCTGCATGTACTGTGTAAAGACTTCTGCGACGATGAAGTGCACACTGTTGTCGAACAGGACGAGAACATATTCAGTCATTCCTGAATCTGCATTGTACACAGCACATGCTGTGCACACTGAGCATGTGATGCAAACAAACACGGGAAAGCCCCCCAAATGAAGATCAGCCTGTCATCAACAGATGGAACAGCTTTTATTATGGGATGAACAAAAACAAAGCATCTGTCACTGCTCTTTTCCACACTCTTTGCTCACATTGTCGACCGAACAAAACCTAAATCTTTCAACCTCTTTTCAGAATTGGAGGTCTTTGTAATACACCTTGTGTTGCTGCCACGAACATCTATTCAGCTGTGTCACCCAGCCATGAGAGTGAACTCCATAATGCACTCTGCTCTGCTATGACTCCCAGTCAATAGGCCCTGGATCTCTGCCACACATTCCTTCACATAACTGTTGGCTGTGATTAACATGTAATGTGGATCCCTCTAGTCCAGTAGACAGAGAAATAAACACAGACAGACAGGGACGTCGAGAGAACAAGAGAGAAAATGCAGCAAACACATCCTGTGCAGCAAAGTGTAGAGAGATTTTTAACTCTTTTTCTTTAAATATTAACACTGGCTTTAAACTGGCCTAACAGTAATATGTGATTGTCTCTGCATGTTGCTCATGAGAAGAGTTGTGAAATATCTGTCAGTTGTTTTTGCAGCCTGATGCATCTGAACACCAACAGGATCTGTACTGACAGCCAGCCACCTGTCTTTTAAAGACCCATTTGGCTGCACCTGCATTCTCCCTTTACTTCACTTGCACTCTGAATTATCTCCTAGATTTAGATCACTTTCATGCCAGAGTTCAATCCCCTAGCCTTTATATTTTAGTTTAATTGTAGAAAACAGTGAGTTAATGTTTTGATCTTCTTTCACTGGCTTGGAGCACAGAAAACTTGCAATATTTTCTCATTCCAACTGACTTGTAAATCTTTGCACAAAAGCTCATTTGTGAAACCAACATTGTCCACATCTACAGCTCTTATCCTGGAGGCCAGGCAATTAAGTGGTCTATAAAGTGAATTTGAAAGGTTGTTAGCTTATAGGACCTGACAATGTTATTTATTCAATACTAATATATAAAAATCTATTGCTGCTTTTTAATGAAAGAAAAACCTCAAAACTAACTAACCAGGGTCAAACATATAGTTTTGTATTAACTCGCTGTAACTATGAGTAAATGTAATTCTTTGGGTCATCAGTCAAAAAGCTAAACTGAAAGTTAACAGAGGGAGAAATGAAAGAAAGAGAACGTTTAGTGGGAATCACATCTTAAGGAGGTAAAGGATATCTGTTTTAAACAAAGTGTTTGACATTTGTGTGCTAACTATGGAGCTAGAGCCAGGAGTCAATGACTTAGCTTAGCATAAAGGCTGGATGCAGAGGGCAGCAGCCAGCCTGTTCCTGCTTTATTTGTTTAATCCGTACACAAACAGAAATGTAAAAATGACAAGTTGTGTTTTTATGAGGAGTTAGATGCGCTAATTATTTGACTGACCGGTGCATCAATCTTGATGAGGGCAATGTCAGATTTTTCGTCCACGTCTTTGATTTTTGCATCATAGGAGCCGCCGCTCTTTAGCTCCACTTTCACTCGGTGCTTATTGGCCACGACGTGGGCATTGGTCACAATCTGGCCATCTTCTGACACAACAAAGCCAGAACCACTGGCCACCGCCACCTCCCGCTTGGAATAGGTCATCCTGTGGGGGGAAGGAGAGGATGGTGGGAGGGAGGAGGTGGGAATAGTTAGTGGGAGCATTGCTATTCACTCCTCTCATTCAAGGTCTTTTCTCCGAGAAAAACAAACTGATGCATGATGTAACAGCAGTGTAAGAGTCGGAAGTTGAAAGCAAACAAAATCTAAAGCGTGCAAGTGTCTGAACACATTTTTGTGAATATAATAATGTGTAAATATATAAACAGGAGGCAGGTAAGTATTCAAAGGTGAGCTGGAGAGATTAAGCACACATAAAAACAGTAAGGGGGGAACAAACAGACACTGCAGCATTAACATACAGCACGACCTCAATGAAAAACTGCTTTCAAGGCAACCTGAAGCAACAACAGTGAAAAGACAAGACAGATCTGAGTGAGGGAAAGATGGAAGAGGGACAGAAACGTGGAACTTGAGAGAGCTGCACACATTCAAAGAACCACTTTACAAGCCACAGTACAAAGATGACACAGACGAAGAATTGAGGTGTCAAAGAAGGATGAGAAGCAGACATAAAAGAGCATAAAAGCTGGTGAGACTATGAAAAGAAAAGGCGTTGAAAGTCTGAAGTGGAGAGTAAGGTGCTTTACCAACTGGTGTGGTCTGGTTAAGTATACAGGTGGGCTGTAAATTCTAGCATGTCTGTCCCACACACACATACACACACACACACACAAACACACACACACACACACGGGAGGGGGTATAATGGGGTAAATG